CCTCTTTCAACCCAGAGCTTTCTGGAATAAAAATGTCTCCAACTGGAATTCCTGTAGGGACAGCAGCAATCTCACCTCACAGGGGAGGAGGACCAAAGTTTGGGGAGAGTTGCTAAAAAAGCCCTGGCATGGGTCCCAAACCCAATACAGATGTTAGCTGTTGTAGATTTTCCAGGCTGTATGGCCGTGGTCTTGGCACTGAAGGACCTGACGTTTTGCAAGCAGCTGTGACTAGCCTCCTCAGAGGTATAACACAGAAAGATGGAGTACTCTCTGTGTTGATGTGAGAAGAAAAATGGTAGGCAGGTAATTTATATCTACTCAGGAAGGTGGGGTAGGGCTGAGTCATAATCTTGTAGGAGTTCCCCAGGCGGTGACATGTTAATAAAGGAGCTTTCCTGAGGAGGTTCTTTTGCATATGGATTGGCTATTGAAATTCTGATCTTATCTGTAGTGTTGTAAAATGTAGAGCATTTTGTGTTTTTCAGGACTGGAAACCATGCCCTATTTATTTTTAAACTCTCTTCTTTCCTGTTGAAATTGTGTTCAGTGGCTTCCCTGTGTAATCTGACATGGTAATTGGATGTGTTGTCCAGCATTTCAGTGTCTTGGAATAAGATACTGTGTCCTGTCTGAGTTAGGCTATGTTCAGCCACTGCTGTTTTTTCAGGTTGGCCAAGTCTGCAGTGTCTTTCATGTTTGTTTATTCTTCTCTGGATGCTACGTTGTGTGGTCCCAATGTAAACCTGTCCACAACTGCAGGATATGTGGTATACTCCTGCAGAAGTGTGGGGGTCTCTTCTATCTTTTGCCTTCACCAACGCAGATGGTTTCTGTAGGAAGGTATACCTCATGTTGTAGGGTATGCTAAGTACTGGATAGAGATGTCTTCTTTGAAGAATTTAGTGTGACCCAAAAGCTTACCTATTAGCTTACAAACTCCAATGAAAGCTAACAAAATTTTGAACTTCTGTCATGAACATATACTGTTCCCTTGGTCCCTCAAATTCAGTATCATCTACTCAGACTGGCAGCACCTCTCCAGGGTCTTAGGCAGAGGTCTTTCACATCACCTACTACCTATTTTAACTGGAAATGACAGGGGATTGAACTGGGGACCTTCTGCATGCCAAGCAGATTTTCTGTTGCTGAACCACAGCACCTCACCTTAGGAACCACTTCTTATAATCTACTCTTATTGAAACTGACAGAGTCTACATTCATGACCCCAGTTTCAGAAGAGTTAGTGTGTGTGTGCAGTTACCCAAGATAACAATCTAAATAAAGTGGTCATTACTATAATTAGCTAAGCCAAACTACAGAAATACCCAGTTGTGAACAGTCTCTGTACTCTTTTAGATTATATTTGAATCTTACATAATTACATTTCAATCAGTGGAATAGGATGGGATTCAGTGGAAGAGCCTCTGGTTTGTGTTCAGAAGATCTCAGGTTCAATCCCCAGCAAATCCCCATTTAAAAGGACCAGGCAGTGGTGGTGTGAAAGACCTCAGCCTGAAACCCTGGAGAGATGGTAAGTGGTGTGAAAGACCTCAGCTTGAGGCCCTGGAGAGATGCAGGAGCTATGGCTTAGTGGTAAAGCATCTTCTTGGGATGCAGAAGGTCCCAGGTGCAATCCCTGGCATCTCCACTTAAAAGCATCAGGTCATAGGTGATGTGAAAGACCTCTGCCTGAGACCCTGGAGAGCCACTGCCAGTCATATAAACACAGAGCTGGAAGGGATTCCAAGGGTCATCTAGTCCAACCCCCTGCACAATGTAGGAAATTCACAGCTACACTGCCCCACTCCTCCAGTGACCCCTGCTCTATGCCTAGAGGGAAGTAAACCTCCAGGATCCCTGGGCCAATCCGGTCTGGAGGAAAATTCCTTCCTGGCCCCAAAATGGCAATCGGCATTACCCTGGGCACCTAAGAAAGGGCCACAAGAGCCAACTCTGACTCATCTCTTCCTGCCCTCTCTCTCATGAACTATCTAAATTCATAGTGAGTCACGGAATCAGCATTGCTGTCGGATGGCCATCTAGCCTCTGCTTAAAAACCTCCAAAGAAGGAGATCCCACCACCTCCTGAGGAAGCACTGAGGAACTGTTCTGTCAGGAAGCTCTTCCTAATGTTTAGCCAAAAACTCCTTTGATTTAATTTCAACCCGTTTATTCTGTTCTGAACTTCTGGGGTAACTCCATCCTCTATATGACAGCCCTTTAAATACTTGAAGTTGGCTAACGTATCACCTCTCAATCATTTCTTCTCCAGGCTAAAGACACCCAGCTCCTTCAACCTTTCCTCATACAGCTTGGTCTTCAGACCTCCCCCCATCTTAGTGGCCCTCCTCTGGACACGTCTGAGTTGGAAATACTGACCTTGATGGACCGAGGGTCTGATTCAGTATAAGGCATCTGATGAAGTGGAATCCAGTCCATGAAACCCAGTGCTGGAACAGAGTCGGTCTTTAAGGCGCCACTAGACTTCTATTTATTTGTGAAGCCACCAACTGCCAAAGGTACACCTCTGGAATTATTCCCTTCTTGGTGTACATCACTTAAAAATTTTATCTAGACCACAATGACCCAGAGCTGAATATTGCACAGTATCAGTCAATTGCCATTCAATTGGCCTGTCCACAGAGGAAAATCCAGATGCGAACGATTGCTCTAGCACAATATCCAAGCATGTGTGAATGCACCCCCTGAGAGTATAGTTTCCTAGCAGCGATAAAATGCAGTTAACTGATTCCCCAGCCTGGAATGCCAAGTGACATCATGAGAACTTGGCTGCAAGGGAGATAAAGTGGCAGGATGCATTTATCTTGAACAAAAGCTGCCGGCTCCCCCCTCCCCTTCAATTCACAGCCAGCCATTCTGCACCACAAAAGTGTTTCCACAACCCCCAACTGGCTGGGAAAAACACACACTCTTTTTCAAATCTTGTTCATTTTTATTTTTTACCGGTGTGTATGTCTTGACCTTGATAGCCCAGGCTAGCTCAATCTCATCAGATCTCAGAAGCCAAGCAGAGTCAGCCCTGGTTAATATTTGGATGGAGAGACCACCAAGGAAGTCTGGGGTTGCTACGCAGAGGCAGGCAATGGCAAATCACCTCTACTTGTCTCTTGCCTTGAAACCCCTACAGGGTCACCATAAGTCAGCTGTGACCTGACGGCAATATATATAAGCATATAAACACACATCAATCGGCAACATGTATATGTAAACATATACACACACCTATACAGAGGCTAGTCCACTTCACAAGCTACAGTGAATGCAAATCCTGCATGTACATATGCACACCTGTTTGTAAGAAAAAAAATAAAGTAGAAGAAGAAGAGATTGGTTTTATACCCCACCCTTCACTACCTGAAGGTTTCTCAGAGTAGTTTACAATCTCCTTTCCCTTCCCCTCCCCACAACAGACACCCTGTGAGGTAGGTGGAGCTGAGAGAGCTCTCTCAAGAACTGCTTGTGAGAGAACAGCTCTGAGAGAGCTTGTGACTGACCCAAGGTCACACCAGCAGCTGCATGTGGCTGCTGTGAAATCAAACCTGGTTCTCCCAGATTAGAGTCCTCACTTCTAACCATTACACCAAACTGACTCCCACGTGGACTCTACAAATGAAACCAAGGGACAATACCTGGATAAATGGGGGGGGGGGCAGTGTTAAACCACACAAATGTAACAACCTATGTATATAAAAAAAATCAACTGTATCCTGTACTAGAGCTACCAGCCTCTGAAATGTCTGGAATCCACCCAGATTTACAGTTTATCTCCAGACTACAGCAATCATCTCCTGGAGAGAAACAGCACCTTCAAGAAGTGGCATTGGCAATTAAGAGCAGCAGACTCTAATCTTGAGAGCAGGGTTCGATTCCTCACTCCTCCACTTGAAGACTTTGGGCCAGTCACAGTTCTCTCAGCCCAAAAAATAAACCTAGCTCACCACAAAAAAAAGTGCTATTCAGGCTGCCAGACAATCTTCAGATCTCCTGGCTATATTACACCCCCCCACACACCATACTGCATCCCTACAGAGTTTCCCCTCACCAAGTCCCCCCAGGTACTAACACCCAAATCTCCACGAATCTCTGGAGCCAGAGTTGGCAGCGTTACACTGTACACCGACGTAGGTCAACCACATACAGATTCCAAGGCAAGAGATGCTCAGAGGTGATTTGCCATTGCCTACCTACATCTAGCGACCCTGGACTTCCTTGGTGGTCGCCCATCCAAGTATATCAGGGCCAATGACCCTGCCTAGCTTCCGAGATCTTACTTGATAGGGCTAACCTGGGCTAGCCAGGTCAAGACACTTACAAAGAAACAACAAGGCTGCAATCGGACACATGAAACAATCCACTTTCAATACACTTCCCAACTGGAGTTCATTATGTGAACTGGCAAAATCCAAACCAAAAGTGCATTGAAAGTGGATTATTTCGTGTGCGCGATTGCAGGCCAAGAGTGTTTATTATTCTGCCATCAGAAAGGAGGGCCAACTACAAAGAACCTGTGCTTTCCCAGTTGCAGCTTGCGGAGACACACCCCAGCGGCCAAAGAGTTGCCTGTAAACCGAAGAAGAGGGGAAAACCAACAACAACCTGCAGCCTTTGCGCAAGAGATGCGCTCCTTTTGTCATCTCCCCTCCCTGATGCGCCAAGTCCCCATGACGTCACCAGACCCTCCAAGGTGGGGCCGCCGCGAATTGCACCGTCCCGGTTAATGAACGCCCAGCCCACAGGACGCGCAGAGCCTTCGAGGGAGAGCCCTCCCGCTTTCCCCGCCCCCTTTGCACCTGCGCGCTTCCCCGCAGCCTCCACCCCTCCTGGCCAACCAGGTGTGCCGCGCCCAGGCGGGCTAGTCCAGTCAGGGCTGGGTGGGCGTAGCTCTCGGGCTCGAGTGTTGGCGGAAAGAACCGAAGGGGGGGGGGAGAAGGCGGAAGGTGCCGAGCAACCCCGAGCAGCCTCGGCAAGAAGCCAGCCAGCCAGCCAGCCAGCCCCGGGAGAGGCGGAAAGGAGCCAACTTTTGTAGCCTTCTTTTCCGCGAAGTCCGGCGGAGTTGGGGAGGCGGCGGCCTTGGCAGCATCATGGGAGCGTGTTTGGGAGTCTGCTCTTTGCTCAGCTGCGTGAGTGGCCGCTGGTGAAGCGCCGGAGGGGTGGGAATAGGTGCTGGGGCTCAGGGCGGCGGCGGGGGGGTGTCTTTCCAGCGTCTCTTGTGTTGAGGGGGGGCGCGGATAGCTCTCCTCTTCCCCCGGTCCGCCTTTGTCATTGCTCTTTAAGAGCTGGACCGCAGCCTTGTGTGGGGGTGGTGGGGCGGGGGAGGCTCCGGGGCGGAGGGACCCCAAGTGTATTCTGCTCAAGCGTTACTTCGACCCCCTTTTCCTTTTAATCGCTCACCTTCACGCAGTCCCTGTCTCTCCTTCTCCAGCCCTGTTTGGGTTTTCTTTTTACTCTGGAGAAGGCCAGCACTTTTTTAAAAAAAGCTTCTTTGGAAAGCGCTGCTTCAAATGACTTGGCTAGTCTGTTATTGAGGGAACGGGACCCGCAGCTCCTTTACTGTACGGAACAGTTCCTTTTAAAGAGAACTAAAGAAGCCCCGGGAAAAAATAGAGGTGGAGAAACAAGAGGTGACCGTGCACAATTTCTACAAGTTATTTAAAATGGTTTTTAATCTGGTTTTTCCCAAATGCTCCAAAGAAAGAAAAGTAGCATGAACACTGATTCTGTATATGTAATAAATGTAGGCTAGGAAAGAAAACTATTATAGGTTAGTGTACCCATCTATTGTTTCTTCTCCTCTGCAAAGCAGGAACATTTTGACATTACATATCGTAAATGGAAATAAGAATATCTCACTGGTAGTTGTGGTGTTGCGTATGTGCCAACTCCTCTGTGCAACATTGCCATGCCTTCTCTGCCCGTCCATTTCCTGAAAGGTAAAACCGGGGGCTGGAGGAGAAGGGACAGGGTTGGCCACATGCGCTGGGCCTCAATACCCTGGCTGCCTTGAAATGTTACAGGTAACAGCCTGGAAGTGTTTGGAGAACTTTTGACCTTGTTTCCAAATTGGGGCTGCTGTAGGGAATCAGAATAGTTAAAAAAAACCCCAGTCTTTAAAAAAAATAGTGTGGTATGAGACTGATCTTTGTTGTACTTTGGAGCATTTTGCCTTTTATGCAACTGTTTGCACACAAATAGCAAGTTACTCTTTAGCAAGTTGTGGTTTCAGCTTTGAAATAACAGTCACGGTGCTGCTTGGAAAGCGGGGCCAAAGAATCCTGGCTTGTCCTGAGTTTGTGGATAAATTTCTTCGAGTCATGGTCCTCTTTTGTAATTCATTTTTTCTCTACTGAAGTATTTCTAAAATTAAAGGGCAAAACTTCCACACCCTCCTTGGACAACTAAAACTGTGGGCTTAAGGTTAGAGAAGAAGGAAGTGAAGGTAAACCATGCGTCAGACATACACCCTTTCTTGGAGTTCTGACCAAATACCAGTAAATCTTGTTACAGGGTCAGCTCTGAGTGTTGCTTTTTCTTGGGCTGCCGGGTCTGAGAGTCCTTCTGTCCATGTATCGGTGTGTGCTTTCTGTCCATGTATCAGATCAGTGCTTTCTAGTTCCAGTAAGATCAGGCATGCAGAAAATATTCTTTCCCTTTAATACCCATCATTGTTTACTTTTGGGGAGCAAGTGTAATTTTCCCACAGAATGTTTTAAGCTGTATAACGTCACATCCCGTTGGCCTCTAAGGTGGACTGGAATCTAGCACACCTTGGTCTGTTGACTTGTGGAACTCAGTTCCATGAGATGTGAGTAGATGGATGTGCAAGGTGAAAAACCCACCTATCACTGGCTATGATTCTGGATGGAGTGATCTAGTCCGGATCTGTTTGCCTGGTGCTGGACAGCAGTTAGCGGGCAAGGGTCCTGGCTTGTGGGCATCTGGTTAGCCACTGTTGAGCGAAATGAACAATTAGTTTGATTCTGGAGGACAGCTCTTACATTCTAATCTTCATTCTTACATATGCTTGGACGTAAGTCCCATTAACCTTAATGGGACTTGTACTGAGCTAATGCCTGTTTTACTTGGAAGTCTCCATGGATGAAGGTCATGGACTACTGCTGTGTAGCCAAATCCTAGCCATGTCTACTCATCAGGAGGTCCTGCTGAGTGCTCTTGGGCCTTGCATCATAGGCTGCAAGTGCCCCTGAATTGTGACAGGAAATATGCACAGGATCTCAGCCTCAGTCAGATGACGTAGGGAAGAGGAGTCATCTTGTAATGCAGAGGAACTTGTATAGCCTCTGTAACAATCAACTCTTTTGCAACACTAGAACTATGCAGCATAAAAGGGTGTGTACCATATTTTCCTGAGTTGGTCATAAGGATTTCAGTACTAATTCATCCATTAACATGGAAGCCCATTAGGTAATGGAAAGGACTCTTCCACACAAGAGGATGCCAGTAATTCTATCATGTGGTGTGCTTTTTAATGAATTGAGGAGGCTAAGGATGGTTTTGGAAAAAGGGTAATGGACCAGATACAGAACTTTAATGTAACCACCAACACTTAATATTTGGCCCTAGGCAATGGATCATGAATTGGAGGGTTTGCAACTGAAAAAAGCATAACAATCAACATGCATCATAAAATCATGATAGGGAATTTTTATTTTCCCAATAAGATGGCCTTTATGCTCTCAGATGAGGACCCCTTCATCTCTTCAAGACTGGCTGTCTTTGCCTTGGCTGCGAGAAAAGTTAGAGCAAAGAAATCAAATAGTGCCATTGCAACTAAGTGAGTGTTCTTAAAAGGTCTTATCAGATTTAAATATTATAGGCTGAGGTAGTTTTAACAGGTTTTATATGTTTTATACGGGTTAATTTTTTTTAATCATATGTTATGCACAAACTCTCTGGGAGTGATATTGTGAAGGCCTATGGCCACATACAATAAACTGATTCTGATAAGAGATTCTATTTTATTTTCCTCTTGCATCCCCTCCCCACTGGGCATTCATCTCTTTAAGTTACAGAGATTGGTGTTGCTGTTTTTTAGGGAGTTAACCCCCCCCATGCATTTATTTTAGGTTTTAGATTTTCCTGCAAACCTTGAGGTTCATAGAAAATCCCCCATGCCTCTCCCTGGCCCCATTGTGTAGATTTTTTTGATCCACACTCCAGGGCTCAGTTCAGTATTGGCTATGATAAATGATAAAACCTGGTGCAGAGGACCCGGTGAGACTCTGGCAAAGCAGACAGCAGTCTGACAGTGCTGATCTTGATGGAGCAAAGACTTGGTAGGAGGTAGCTTCGTGTGTACTGGTGGGGGTGGAAAGTGCTGTCAAGCTGACTTAGGGGTTTCAAGGCAGGAGGCATTCAGAGGTGGCATCAGGTCTGTAGCTATGGCGGGGCTATTTGGGGCTCTGCCCCCTTCCTTAAAGTGCTGGCCTCATAAGATTTCCTTCCTAAAATGTTTTAAAAATTATTTTAAAAACATTTAAAAATGTGTTTTAAAAGGCATGCACTCCTGCGTCTTGCAGCAGCCAAACAGACCCGACCTTGGGACTTGGCTCAGCCTCGGACTGGCGTGGCTTGGCTCAGCTGTAATTGACAAGACAGTGAGGCCCCGTCCACGACAAATAATGGCAGCCCCACCAGAAAAAAATTTGCCTTGCAAACCATGAAATCCTGGCTATGGGCAGGCATTGCATACAGGGCCGGCTCCAGGTTTTTTTGTACACTAGGCGAGGCTACCATCTGGCGCCCACCAATTTTCTGGTCCCCCCCCCGGTGTGCCCCCCAACCCAAAAGGACAGCCCCAAGAAAGAAGAAGAAGGAAGAAGGGAACGGGCACTGCTGGGGGTGGCCTCAGCCCGGCTGCTTGCTTGCTTTCCTCCTGGGAAGGGCGCCAACTGAGCCCCCCCTTCCCATGCTGGGGGCGGCCGTTGCAGTTGACCAGGATGATGGCCAGCATGTAGTCCTTGCCCAACATGGCCTCGGCGGGCACACGGCAGCCAGCGAGCGAGCGTGGGATGCAGCAGGGGGGCTCTGCTGCCTGAGGCTGGCACCAGAGTGCGGAACGGGGCAGAGCCACACAGGAAGGAGGGCGGAGCCTGGCAGGGGGCCCGCTGGAGACTGGAGCAGCATGGAGTCCCTGGAGGAGCGCGCCTGGAAGCCAGTCTCCGTCGCTGCCATGCAGAGTCGCAGCAGTGTCGCCTCAGCCCACCCTGTTTAGGCAAGGGAGGGGAGGGGCAGCCCTGATTGCATACCTCTGCATAGAGACCATTGAGCCAGTTTGGTGTAGTGGTTAGGAGCATGGACCGGGTTTGATTCCCCACTCCGCCACATGCAGCCACTGGCGTTACCTTGGGTGAGTCACAAATTCTCTCAGAGCTGTTCTCTCAATAGCAGTTCTTAGGAGAGCTCTCTCAGCCCCACCTACCTCACAGGCAATGTTCCCTCTAAGCTATAGAGTCCTGTGAGCCAAAATTCTACTTTGTGAGCTACTGGCATTAAAGTTGTGAGCAGGTGATTTGGCTACTGCATAGATTAGTGTGTTCTGGAGCCCTCCTTCCTGAGCCAAGACAAAAATGTGTGAGCCGGAGGCTGAAAAACTGTGAGCTAGCTCACACTAACTCAGTTTAGAGGGAACACTGCTCACAGGGTATCTATTGTGGGGAGAGGAAGGGAAAGGAGATTGTAAGTCACTCTGAGACTCCTTCTGGTAGTGAAGGGCGGGGTACAAATCCAATCTCTTTGTTGTCTTCTTGGTGGTTTCCCACCCAAGTATTAACCAGGGCTGACCTTGCTTAGTGTCTGCAATCTGATGAGATCAGGCTAGCCTGGGGCATTCAGGTGATGTGTACTAGCCTTCCTTAAGTTACAAGATTGTTGACAGAGGCCCAGTTTACACATGCAGCAGGATCGAGTGGTAGAGCTGTCTCTTGACCCATTTCAGTGCTGCAGGGAGCCATGTGTATGTTGGTTCTCTACTTCACACAAGGAAGGCTGTTGAGTGTGGGTGGGCGTAACACTGCAAATCTGTCGTTTGAAGCCCAGCCAAAGCTTTCTCTCCCTCCTGGTGCAGGCAGATGTTGGTTCTGAGATAATGGATAGATAATGGTTTGAAACACTTAGGGAAAGTGCTTTGAAAAATAACGGTTTACTTTTTTCTTGGGAATAAGCATCGATTTCTTGCTTTGAGACCTCTTGAAATGAAGTTTCATTTTGGGGAGCAAGAATTGTATATGTTTGCGTGTGCAACACTTACACCCCTTCTTCCCTAAAGGTCAGTTTGCACTCAGTTCCTCTTGATGACCGTATTTGGGAAACAAAAATATCGCTGGCATAAGTTTTGATCATATCTTTTAAGTAGTTGTCTTTGAGCAGGAAATGCAATAGCTTTTTGAAAAATGAAAGTTGAAAATCTGAGGACTTCACCTATTGTATCCTAGTTTCTTATGGTATCTGAACGCCTTCCGTCTCCCATCTGAGTCTTCCTGCACATTAAGATAACCCTAGGAGGCTTTTCTCTGGGTGTTTCCAGCCTGGGTGTATTGTTACCAGAACCAGAGCCTTTTCTGTGGGGCCACCCACAGAAAAGGCCTTGGTTTTGGAGAGTGGTTTGTTTTTAAAAAAAGTTTAGTTGCCCTCATGTCCTGCTCCTTGCTCTACTTCTGGGTTGATACATGATGCAGAATCTCTAATGTGGTCAGTTCTTATTCTAATTGTTACACAAACCTTTTTTATTATTTGTTATAATTTGTGCGTCACCTTGGATGTCTCTACTCTGAAGGAAGATATAAACATCTTAAACTTAATAGCTGGGGAAAAAATGAGTCCAGTGGCACCTTTAAGACCAGCAAAGTTTTATTCAAGGTATCTGCTTTCGTGTGCAAGCACACTTCTTCAAATACATTGAAATGGAAGCTTCTAGTCCCTACCTATAGGTACAGGGTGAGCAGCAAATTTATTTTGACCTATGCATTGTCTACCCTCTGCCTATATGTATGGACTGGTAGCTTCCATTTTAATGTCTCTAAAGAAGTGTGCATGTGCATGAAAGCTGATACCTTGAATAAAACTTTGTTGGTCTTAAAGGTGCCACTGGACTCAAACTTTGTTCTGTTGCTTCAGACCAACACGGCTACCCACCTGAATCTATCTCAATAGCTGGAATCTTGCATGGTTTGTCCTCTGGAACTATGGCTTTTAGCTTTTGCTTATTACCAAGCTGGCTGAGAATCTGTGAAACATCAGTTTATGTGATCTCAGTTCATTCTCTAGAGCCTCCAGCATGAAAGCCAGGAATGGGATTGTAACATGGGGTGGAACTTCAGAAACTGAGCAAAACCTTTATTGGTTATTCCTGTGGGGTCCTCCAATGAGCTCCCAATGGCTGTTCACCTTTGTTCTTTCTGTGCCAGGTGTCATGCCTCTGCGGCTCAGCCCCTTGCCTCTTATGTGGCTGCTGCCCTTCTACAAAGAACTCCACCATAACCCGGCTGTGTTTCACCTTGTTCCTGTTCCTGGGCACCTTGGTCTCGATTATCATGATCATTCCTGGAGTAGAGGCTGAACTCCACAAGGTAACTAATATCTTACTCATTTTCCCACATCCCCAACAAGCAAGAAATCCCAGAAGAAACTGGATGAAATAGGCCATGTCTATTTATAGAACTTCCGCCTAATCCAGCTTCACTTTGGTAATGCAAGGGGTGGGGAAGGACTTGACCCTGAGGAAGCTTCATGTACCTACTGTCTTGTTTCAGTGGACTCTAGTCACTGTACATGCAATGTTAGCATGCCAGAAATCCATAACATAGCATTGCACTGGCATTCTAATGTTGCATGTATAATTAGATTGTTCCCCTAGTGGCTTAGTAGAGGCAACATCAAGGAATGACCCTGACTTGTAAGCCCTGTTCGTTGGTCCTTCAGGGCAACTGGTTGGCCACAGTGTAAGAAGGGTTGATGGATTAGCAGGCAGGTCTGTTCCTGTGAGTTTAAATGAGACACTGGGGGCATGCAAGATTGCATGGGGAGGTTCGTCTGTCCTGGCGACATCCTGTGTAAGTTACACCACTGTTAACTTCTGGGAGTGTGAATTCAGCTTTGCCAAATTGAAAAAATACCCGAAAAATACCTTATCAGTATTTTTTGGGTATTTGTTAAACCGAATCGGATTCCCTAATCTGATTCAGCCGGCCAATAAGGTGCTCCCAAATAAAAGCTGATATTTTATACCAATATAATATACCGATATTTTTCAGGCTTGGTTTTTTTTTCGTGCACACCCCTTTTAACTTCTAGGGGTGGGTGAAGTCTGACTTGTTCATCAGTGCTGTTGAACACTTAAGAAAGAAGCAAGCAATATCTAAGGGCCGTCTTGATGTTGTTTATCGATCTTCCAGCTTCCTGGGTTCTGTGAAGGAGGCGCTTCGATTCTGGGCACAGATGGGAAAGTCAACTGCAAATCCTTCCTGGGTCATAAATCTGTGTACCGCATGTGCTTTGCAACAGCAGCTTTCTTCTTCCTGTTTGCCTTGATGATGATCTGTGTACGGAGCAGCAAAGATCCACGGGCATCGATACAGAACGGGTGAGGTGGCTAGTCCTGAGGGCACCCTATTTTAGGCACTCTGTGTGAATCCAAAGGGTTCGTGTCCCTTTAGAAGGAAGGGATGGGAATAATTAATAATCATCATCATTTGGCAGTGGGTGCAGTATTTGTTTGTTTTTGTTTTCTTTATATTCTGCCCTCCCTGCAAGCAGACTCAGGGCAGGTTACACAAGTGAACTCAATAAATGTAGTGACTGTAATATACAATAAAATAGAATACGACAGAATTAAAAGAATCTAAGAACAGTCTAGCCAGGAGATCTAAAGACTATCTGGCAGCATGAAACTCTCTTTTTTTTGTGACAAGCTAGGTTGGTTGTTGTTGTTGTTTTGGCTGAGAGAACTGTGACTGACCCATGGACACCCAGCTGGCTTCCTGTGGAGAAGTGGGGAATCAAACACAGTTCTCCAGATTAGAGTCTGCTGCCCTTAACCACTACACCAAATTGGCTCTCTACATTACACTACGCCAAACTGGGAACAAAAGGAAGATGCAGACATCCCTAAAAGAGTCAGTCAGGACTATCAAGAACTAACATGGTCCTACCAGAATTCTCTCTGGTAGTACCTCAGTCCCAAACCCAACTCGAGCATCATGTGAAAATAAATCAACATGACTTGCCCAACTCCATGGACCCCATGGTGACTGCCACCCTTGAGTTTTGTCCCTGTCACTCCCTTATCAATGCCCACAGTCAAAGTGTCTTCTGGACCCTCTTTCTTCTCTACAGACCAATTGGTATTGGGTGAATGCAGTACTGATCCAGCTGCAGGCACACCAGGGACCACTTGCATCCTATGCAGCATGAACTGAGCTGTGATATGTAAATGGCAACTTTCCTGCTTCTTTCTGCTTGTGCTTCTGAGGTTCAGCTGTCATATGTACTTAAGAGCCCTGCTGGATCACACCAGTGATCTGTCTAGTCCGGTATCTTGGAGTGCTGTAAGTCGTGTCAAAGAAAAGTAACATTCCCGAGCTATTCCTGCTGGCAAACTCTGGATAGTGTTTGAGTTTCAGCAGTTTGAGGAGCTGCGGTCTAACTTTCTGCTCTGCACAGTCTGTAGAGCCAGGCCACTGATGTATTGCTTCAGCTGCAAAACCTGAAGGCTGATCTCTGCAACCAGGCAACAGCGGGTGTTAGATGTCTTCGTTCCTTTCCGGAAATAGATGCAAATGAGACAGGAATAAATCACCTCTCCAAATAAAATCCTTGTCTAACTTTTGGCAGCAGCAGCTTTTCCTCCCTGACCAAGCTTTCTTTTTTTCTCTGAGTGTGCCGGAGAAAGACTGCAAGGCTCTCATTGGCCCTTGATGTTCTTGGGCATTAGAAATGCAAAGATGCTCAGGGCCGCCCTGGCTTGGGTTCAGCTATGCTGCCAGCTGTCACTTGAAGGACTCATTCTGATGTTGATGCAAAGAAGCAGTGGTTCTTTGATGTTTCCATGTGGCTGTCTTAAGGCAACATGATGTTTAGCATTGGTGTAGCTTTATGTTTGTTTGTTTGTGTGTGAGTGCATATGTATATATATTGTGCACTTCTACCTTCCCTTTCCTCCATGAAGATCAAGGAAGCATACAGGATTCCCTCCCTTCCTTTGCTTTATCCTCATAACAGCCCTGTAAGGTTGGTTAGGGTGAGAGTGTGAGTGACTGGCCCAAGGTTACCCTGTCGGTTTTATATGGCAGAGTTGGGGTTTGTTCCCAGATCTCACCAGTCCTAATCAGGTGCTCTGACTACTACACCATGCTGGTTCCCAGTGACCCACTCTTGCATGGACCCTATAAGGTAGGCAAGGAGCGCTGTCTCCCTTTTGCTGTTCAGAGGGTAAGGTTGTGAGCGAGTTGGCTCGCCAAAGGCCGTCTCATGTGCTCAGAGGCAATGTCTGAACTGGAGAATGACCTTTTCTCTTCTTGTCAACTCCAGGTTCTGGTTCTTCAAGTTTCTGATCCTGATTGGAATAACCGTGGGGGCCTTCTACATCCCCGATGGATCGTTCACATCTGGTAAATGAAGCAACATTAAAACTTGTGACTGAGCACTGATACGTGCAATACTGCTGTGATGCCAAGTCATTGTGTTTACCCTTCTGTGTAAAGTAGGGCTGGGTGCTTTCTGCCAGGAAGGAGGGTGGGCTGTTGCCAGACCCGGAAGTCTTTCCTTCTGGCAGTTAATAGCTGTGTCCAGGATCCTCTTTTGCTTCCGGACATTCAATGCATCGTCTTGCAATCTCTTTCCCAGTTTTTTAATGCTTGCGGTAGCAGGAAGGAATTTTGTCCTGGTTCCAAATTGAATGCATCTGTGGGATTTGTATAGTGCTTTCTCATGAGTGGTGGGCCTTGGGCACTTCCTTCTGAAAGGTGAACAAAAAGAGCAGACGGTTAAGTCATTGCCCCTGATACCTGCTGTCGGTTCGTGATTAATTGGTGTCCATTGTCGGTTTGCTGAAGGGCTGGTGGACCCTGTACTGGGTGGATTTGCTGTGAAAAGACTGAAAGGCACCCTCCTAATATGGGGCTGAGCCTCTTGTTCCCTTTAGCTGTGAAGCAATCCCTTCTTGTTAAAGAGTCAGCTACTTTGCCGAGGCTTGATTCTGTATAGCACATGAAGTGTACATATGAAGAAGAGATTGGATTTATACCCTGCCCTTCACTTAGAGTTTCAGAGTGGCTTACAGTCTTCTTTCCCTTCCCCTCCCCACAACTGACACCCTGTGAGGTAGGTGGGGCTGAGAGAGCTCTTTCGAGGACTGCTTGTGAGATAACAGCTCTGAGAGAACTTGTGACTGACCCAAGGTCACCCAGCTGGCTGTATGTGGAGGAGTGGGGAATCAAACCCGGCTCTTCCAGATTAGAGTCTGTGCCCCTAACGACTATACCAAACTGGCCCTTGCTCTGCAGCGCTGCTGTGTGAACTTCAATGAACACATGAAGTTGCCTTAATCAGACCCTTGGCCCATCCAAGTCGGTATTGTCTACTCAGACTGGCAGCTGCTTCCCAGGATCTTAGGCAGAGGTCTTTCACATCACCTACTACCAGATCCTTTAACCAGAGATGCCAGGGATGGAACCTGGGGCCTTCTTTTTGCCAAGCAGATGCTCTGCCACTGAGCCACAGCCCCTCCCCAATTTGTGCACTGCTAGAAGGCTTTTGGTTACTCAGTCCTAGTGAGAAACACTTAATAGCAGTTTCTCCAGTTGAATCTGTAAATGTTTTTATTAAAAATACTTGGTGTCTACATAGCTCGTCCTGGGGTAGGTTGAATCATCCTTCCAGAAGCTGTTCCTGTACAAGTTTGATGAAGGTTCCTTAGGATTCAGACTTCACTCAGTGGAGTAGAAGAGTAGGGGTACGATCCGCACATACCCTTGGTCTTCAAACAAGTAGATCTGAAGAACTGAGGAAAACGATTCCTTTTGTTTTTGATTCCCTAAATGTCTATGGGATATGGCCATAGCTCAGTGGTACAGCACCTGCTTTGCATGCAGAAGGTCCCAAGTTCAGGTTCAGTCTCTGGTGGAAAGGATCACTGGAGAGACCCACTGGCAGTCAGAGAAGACAAGGTTGACCTTGGTAGCCCAAGGATCTGATTTGATAGAAGGCAGAGAGTAGAGATGGGCACGAGCCTCGTCACAAACCTAATTTTATGACAAACATCACCAGTTTGTGGGTAACAAACCAGAGGTTTGTGCCCATCCCTATCCACGACACTCCATGTGATTTCAGAGGTTCTTGGGGTTCATTGTGGGAAGTAGGGGAGAGCAAAAGGGATAGCTGAAATGGCTTGCAAAAGTGGTGAACTTGCTGCTTGGACTTGATGTGCGCGTGGCACCTGCTTGCAAAAGCCATTTAAACTTTAAATGGCTCTTGCAACATTTAAACTTTTAGGTGAACTCGCTGCTTGGAATTCACTTGTGCACAGTGCCTGCTTGCAAAAGCCATTTAAGGAGAACATTCCTTTTAAATGGCTTTTGCAAGATCTTTCCCGCTTTCCATTCTGTTGGCATCGGGAAGCTGCCGCCAGCAGAAAGAGAGGGAACTGAACCTCACGAACCACAAACTGATTTGTTAACTGGGAAGGTTTGTGAAGGTTCATGGTTCGTGAGAACCCACAAATCACGAACCTCCATTTTCCTGGTTCATGCCCATCCCTAGTGGGTATGCAGTAAATTCCACTATGAAGCTGCCTTATACTGGCCTGGTGCACATAACATATCTGTGTTCATGGCCAGTGCACTACGACATAGTAAGAGCGTGAACACTGGCCACGCCTACAACCTAGTGCACTTTTTTATTTAAGTCATTTATAGTCTGCCCTTCTCACTTGGACTCAAGGTAGACTACACAGACTGAGTCAATGCAATCGATAGGGTGGGGTATCCAGTAAACAAGTAAGCAGTAAACAGAATTCGGTTTGTTAAACCAATCAGAAATCTAAAACCAGAACTGAAGCAAAAGTAAGCCTAAGTCTCAATGTGGCATCCAAAATGATACAAAATTTCATGGTAGGATCCTAGTTTCAGTAAGCTAAACACTGTAACATAGACCATGGCCCCTAATAACTTATCTAAGTAACTTTGTAAATAATTTGGTACAGTGCAACTCTTTTGGCTTTGACGAAAAGCTCTATTGAATACTTCAGTGTTGCATAGTTTTTTGAAAGCCAGGAGGGCAGGAGCCACCCTGACCTCCTCAGGCAGGCCATTCCATAAGTTGGGGGCCACAACAGAGGAGGCACCTTTATGGGTAGTTATTGATTCCACCCATTAGCAGGTTGACACCAGCAGAAGACCTTGCTCAGGTGAACGAAGTTGTCATGTCAGTTCATGGGTCAGTGCATGGGGGAGAAACAGCCTTGCAGATATGAGGGTCCAAGGCTTTGCACGTAATAGCCAGTACCTTAAATTGAGCCCTGTAACCCATGGCCCTGTTCCTCCTGTCTGCATTCACCTGTACTTGGGCACAGCCATTCCATTTGTGGGATCTGGGCTTGCAAAAGCTCCACACTGTGAATGGCAGCCGCCAAGAACAAATGTTCTGCCCTGACCTGGATAGCCCAGGCAAGCCCAGTCTCGTCAGATCTCGGAAGCTAAGCAGGGTTGACTCTGGCAGGTACTCGGAAGGGAGTCCTCCTTGGAATACCAGCAATCGGGAGGCAGGGGCAGGCTTTATTCAGCCACCTCTCTGAATATCCTCCAGGCCCCTGGTAGGGGTCAGTCACCAGAGGTCACCATGACTTCCAGGTGTGTGCAACGCACACACACATGAAAAATACAGCCTCCCCCCCCAAAACACACACAAATGTTCCACAGGAGTGGAGCCTATGCGCCTACCAGTGCTGTGCCCACATACAGTGAGAGTTCATAAAATGGGGACAGAGGCAGCTTGGTGGTGAGTGGAACATAGGACCAGCTTGTTTCCATCCAACCCTCTGCATGTGTTGGCCCTTTTGTCTGGTTGTGTTAAGTGTACAGGGCTTTTGAGTCACACCATTGGCACATCTACTCTGATGGGCAGTAGCTGTTCAGTCCCTTGAGACTCTCCGAGCCCCTGTTACCAGAGATTACTTTGAATACATGAAGCTGCCTAATACAGAATCAGATCCCTGATCTGTCAAGGTCACTATTGTCTACTTTGACTGGCAGTGGCTCTCCTGGGTCTCAGGTCAAGGTCTTTCCCCTCACCTGCTACCTGATCCTTCTGACTGGGGTTGAACCTGGGACCTTCTGCTTGCAAAACAGACGCTCTGCCACTGAGCTACGGCTTCCTCAGAAATGCTTCAGTCTAACCTTTGTCAGGATTTTTGCTACTCCTTCAAAATGGGAAAACAAGAAAATCCAGGCACATTCTGCAGCATCAAGTGGCCTCGGATGGAGGGTATGTGCTTGCTACCCACTGGGCTTGAAAAGCAGCATGCAGGATTTAATAAGTCCCCAGTTGGTCCCCTTGAGGCTTCACTTTCAATCTGCAATAAAGGATGTAATTTAAAACCAAACAGGGCCAGCAGGAAATGGAGATCATGGCTAGATTCTTCATGTACGCTTCACATTGCTGGAATTGGAGCAATACGCAAGCAAAGAAGCTTGCAGAGAGACAGGGAAACAGAAGCTGAGGTGACCCTTTTGTTAAGTTTACTCTTCCCTACTGACTTCTGTCAAGTTGGTCTGTCCTAATTCTACTGCTTGTCTGGGATAGTTCCAGTTGGATTCAGTAGCCCACCTTTGTTTCTGTGGCTGTCTGTTGAGTAATAATCTGCATGGTGAATCCAGTGTTCCCTCTGTGGAGATGCTGAGCAGGGTGACTTCTGGAAATCCTGTTGAACCCCCAACTTCTTACTTGTGGATGTGTCTGAAAATCTCTCTGTAACTGGTCTGGGATGTATGATGGCATTAGGGCAGTGGTTCTCAAACTGTGGGCATTCCACACGGGTTATGTGTCCTGGCCCTGACGGCCCAGGCTAGCCTGATCTTGACAGATCTCAGAAGTTAAGCAGGGTCGGCCCCGGTCAGTACTTGGATGTGAGATCACCAGGGACGTCCAGGGTTGCTACGTGGAGGCAGGCAATGGCAAACCAGCTCTGAATGTGTCTTGCCTTGAAAACTCTACGGGGTCATCATAAGTCAGCTCTGATGTGACAGCAAAAAAAAAAAAAAGTGTTCCGGGCTCCATGTTGGGAAATTGATTTTTTTCTCCGCAGCATTGTAATGCATTCATGTACTTCCTGGGGTTTCCCTGGCTTTTCTCCAGCATAAGCTTCCAGGAGTCAGAGTTTCTCAAAGCTTATACTGGAACAGATTGCAGCTAGCCTTGAAGATGCTACTTGACTTTTGTTTACTTTTGCTACAACTAGACATGGGTTTGGTGTTCCTCTGACCCGACTCTCACTGGATGAGATAGACGTTAACTACCCAAGAGTGCAGGGCCCAGTTCCCATCGGAATCATGGGGGGAGGGGGCTAGGACCTTCCCCTCTGTGCCGTTTTCCCAAACTGAATTGTGTCTGGGGGTGTTTTACCTTGTTGGGGGGGGGTGCTCATGCAGCCCACATTATGCATAAAGCTCCCCAACATGTTGGTAAAATGGGGGAGATGTCTGAAACCTTTTCTCACCCTGCATCATAATTCTGAATTGGATCCCTGCAGTGCTCAGGGAATTAGTTCTAAGACCCAGCTTGGGTGTAAGAGAATTTCTCTCTTAGTTTGGCCTTAACATGGTGACCCATGTGGAACTTCCTGTAATAATACATTCTCACATCTCTCTCTTTCTCTCTCTTTTTTAAATTTGAGTTTGGTTCTACTTTGGAGTGGTTGGCTCTTTCCTGTTCATCCTCATCCAGCTTATCCTGCTGATAGACTTTGCACACTCCTGGAGTCAGGTTTGGCTGCACAACGCGGATGAAGGCAATTCCAAATCCTGGTACACAGGTCTGTATTGAATGCCAATTAGCCATGCTGTCAAGCTGGGCTCTGCTGCTTGGTTGGGATTGGACAGTTGACCTGTTAGTCTCACCTTGGTTGTTCGTTCCATTTTATGTAAGCTGCCTTGGAGATTCTGTTGTTGCAGAGCGGTGGGATATAATGTAAATGTGGTGCAGACAGACAGGCTTCTTTCCCCAAACCCCTTCTCATCTATGTAGCTGTGCACTTCCATTTTTTCTGTGTTCTCTCCAGCACTGGGCCTCTCTTTCCCCTATTTCCTTCTGCCCTTCAATTTAAGTAAGTGGGATATTTTATTTATATGAGTGATATGACTTTATTTACTTCATTTATAACCTGCCTTTCTCTCCAATGGGGACCCAACGCAGCTCACATCGTTTTCCTCTCCTCCATTTTGTCTTCATTACCATCCCCATGAGGTGGGTTATTATGTATTTATTTAAAACATTTTTTCTTGGCACCTTTTTGCCTGATCAGAGTCCCCAAGGCAGTGTATGTAAAAACACTTAAAATGATAAAATAATTCAATAAAAACGCATGAACAACACCCGACCCAGGGAGGAGGGCCAATCATTGTTATTGGGGGCGTGGTGGAATGGGCCAGCTCCGTCTGGCAGGCCCTGTTCCACCCTGCCCTCCAAGGTTCTCCCAACACCTGGAGAGGCTTTTCTACCTCTCCGGTAATCCACCGCCACCACCGGACCTTTGCAGGAATTGCCCACTGGGTGGGTCAGGACTCCCAGCTTCCATTCCACATTGTGAGGCCTTGCCTCTGTGTGTCCCTCTGCCCAGCGCTTGGTCACCATGGAGACAGTTTACTGCCTTGTGCACGCCTGGAGGAATGGCCACTTGCCAACTGCCTGCCTTCCCCCTGGCGCTCCATTTAAAATAGCGTGATTGAGACTGTGGAGGTATATGTGGTACAGAGAAGAAGAAGAAGAAGAAGAGATTGGATTTATACCCCGCCCTTCACTACCCAAAGGTGTCTCAGAACGGCTTACAAACTCCTTCCCCTCCCCACAACAGACACCCTGTGAGGTAGGTGGGGCTGAGAGAACTCTTGACAGAAACTGCTCTTTTTCGAGAACAGCTGTGCCAGAGTTATGGCTTGCCCAAGGTCATCCAGCCAGGTGCAAGTGGAGGAGTGGGGAATCAAACCCAGTTCTCCCAGATTAGAGTCCGCACATTTAACCACTACATCAAACTGGCTCTCAGCATCAAAACCACTCCCAGCATAAAAAGTTATAAAGTATTTAGTTAAAAAAATTGTTCACAAAGCATAGTTTTAGCACAGCACCAGATTGAGCAAGGGATTCAAAAAAAATGGATAACATGCAATTCCTCTGTCCCTCTCTCTATACATGGCCTATTGGGTGTTAAAATATAGGACAGGCTCCTTAGCTTAGGAACTTACAGATCTCTACAGTCTCACCGTTACCTTGAAGCTTCCTTCAGTTCTCCAGGACAGCACATGGTTAAACGGCTGCCTCCTCCAGACCTCAGTTAAGAAATCTGGACCCAGCCCAAAAGAGTGCTTCTTCCTTTCTCCCCTGAGTTTCCACACCCACTGACCAGATCAGGTCAGAGATCTTGTCCTGAGGGGAGGAAGCTTGACTATCCAGTTGTCTAGACCTATTAGCATTTGTATGAAGATGGGCTGAGGTAAGTCTGGAAAGCAATTGAGGTGAATTCTTCTGCCCAGAGAGGGGGGGGAAACTTTTAAAACTCAGAGTGAAGGTTTTGTTCATTTCAAAGGAAAAAGGCATTTCCTTACAGGGGTATGCCAAAAGAAACAAAAAAGTATTTGCCTGCTGGCAGAAGATACCAATAGAGGGAGACAGATGAATATCCCTGGAGGGGAGTTTCCCAAGTTTTGGTGCTGCCCCCAAGAAGGCCCTTTCTTGGGTCACCAGCCATCCAGCCTCAGATGGCAGGGCAACCAAAGCAGGGCCTCAGAAGATGTCTCAAAGCAAGTGACTGGCCCAGATCCGCTGCTGCTTCTTTAAAACAGCTGAGATGATTGGGGAAGGCAGCACAGTGTAGTGGTTGAAGCAGGATCAGGGAAACCTGGGTTCAAACTGCTCCTGCGCCATGAAGTTCACTTGGCTGGTTGCTGTCACTCAGTGTAACCTACCTCACAGGATGCTTATGAGAATAAAGTGGAGGAGGGGACTGCTGTGAATGCAGAGATATTGGGTGCTGTGAAGCACATTGGAGAATCCCTGAGACCATGACAACGGTTCATTTTCACAAGGGATAGGGAATTGAAATGCACCAGAAGGTTGGAGAGGCAGGAGGAGGGTTTCCGCTTGGAGGTAATAATTTGCTTACCTTCTGGGGGTACAGGATGGAAGATGCTATAAAACATGGCCTGGGGTGTGGAGGTGTGTGCTGTGTGACATGTAACCTGATTGGAGAAGAGTTTGGGGATATTTCCCATGAGGGGCACAAGCCCTCAATCTGGATTGGGGAGGGTTGCCATCAAAGGAGGCAGGAAGGTCTAAAAGGTAGAATTTTCCTTTGTTCTTGGTTCAAACGCTTTGCCCAGATGCTGAGACCATACACTGTGACCCAGGCTCCTCTGCGATGGGGCAGGAGGGGTTGTGGGTTGTGTGTGCTCTCCCAGAGGTAACTGTCGTATATTGTAACTTAGCTAGACTTAATTTTTTCCTATTCTTTTCCTTAGATCTGTGACCCCTAGACACGGCAGCTATTTTACATGTATATCCTCTAGCTTAATCTTTTGTAATAAAGCTTCTTTCCCGGTTAAGAAAGTAGACTGTGATTCAGATCCTACCAGGCCCATAGCCAGGATTTTGTGGCTTGTGGGGCAATTTTTCTTCTGGTGGGGCTGCCATTATTTGCCATAATGAATGGGGGTGGCGTGCTCCCCTCTCCCTCCCCGCCTGCAAGATTTTAAGGGCCCTCCAGCTGATCAACGGGCCACGTGCTCCCCGCCGATTAGCTGAAGGACCCTTTAAGTCTTGCAGGGGGGGAGAGGGGCATGCACCACCCCCAGTTTCTTCTTAAAAGCATTTAAAAGATCCCTTTGCGTGCATGTAGACCTGCAATACGCATGTAAGAAGATGCAGACCCAGGGTGGGTTTGTAACAGGGACAACCATGCGAACTGTCCTTGGCTGTTAACCCTGGTTTTTTAGACACTCTGCTAAGACTTTTCTTTTAACTGCTAATATCTCTCTTTCTCTTTACCAGCCCTCTTCTTCTTCACCTTCCTCTTCTATGCCGTCTCCATCGCAGCTGTGGTTCTCCTCTATGTGTATTATACGAAGCCAGATAACTGTACAGAAAACAAGGTGCTGATCAGCCTCAACCTCATCTTCTGCGTTGTGGTCTCTGTGCTGTCCATCTTGCCCAAGATCCAGGTAAGGGACCGCTGAGATCCTGTCTTATCGTCAGGTGGAATTTTGACATTCAGTTGCCTTTGGTGGCCTTGTGGGAGTTTTGACCACTTGAGTTTCTCTCTTTTAAGTGGTCTTTTTGTTTTGTGGTGACAGGAATGTTGGAGGACTCTCCCCTGTCTTGACTTCTGAAATGTCTAGGGATGGACCCACCTGTTGGTGGTCTTACCAGAGGTCAGAGCTGCTACTGTTGTGCAACTATAGAGAACGAGTACTATGAGACTTTTGAGGTACCCAGATGTGTTCAACCCCTAATGGTCGTAGCCTTATGATGTGAATGATGGTGTTTTCTGGTAGTATAGTTGCTTGGCTTCTGAGGCAGTTTATTGGTGGTGGAAAGTGCCGTCAAACTGCAGCTAACGTACAGCAACACCATAAGGATTTCAAGGCAGGAGAGGGTCAGAGGTGGTTTGCCATTGCCTGCTTCTGCAAACAGCCCTGGACTTTCTTAATGGTCTCCCATCCAAGTACCAACCAGGGCCAACCCTGCTTAGCTTCCAAGATCTGATGAGATTTGGCTAGTCTGGGACACCCAGGTCAGGGCAAGGCAGCTTATTAGGCAGATATAATGTAGAAGTGAACCTGCATTCCTTTAATGTAGCCTGACAGACTTGCCTGTTTTATTGTGCTTAGTCTCTCATATTAAATATTCTCTGCTTATAGAAAAACCAGTGCATCAGGGAGAGAACTAGTATAATCCTACATTGTTCAGGGGGTTGGACTAGATGACCCTTGAGGTACCTTCCAGCTTTGTTTCTATATCTCCTCCTTCACTTTCTAGCTTCCCCCAGGCATGGAGTTGTTTGCGATGTGGGAGCCTTTGGTCATGTGGACGCCTTACTTGTCATCTGGAGTGGTAGAGGCTGAGCAGGGCTATACCACATGAGCTTGGTTCCTTATGCTCTTTATTGTTTTCTAAATGGTGGAATGATCCACCACACATAGTAGTGAACATTAATGAGGTGCTTGTGAGAAGTGCTATATAAATAAAATGTAATGGGATCAGAACAACAAAATAGAGTTTGCCATAGTGCCTTCTCTGTCTGGGGAGCAGGCAGAGCTCAGCTTCATGAGCTGTTGCTCGGAATTTTTTTGCTACTTTAAATGTGCTGTGATGGACTGCACTTTAAAAGCTCATAAGTGCTGTGTAAACATGTGAAGGACTGTGAAGGGTTAATGCCTCAGTCTTGAGTGATAGGCTGCTTAAAGGGATTTGATTGATTAGAGTCAGTTGAGCAGAAAGACTTGGGAACTGACTGCTGAGGAGAACTGAGTTTTTTACACTGACTGAGGACTGGGAAGGCTGGCAAGGAGGAGTGGATCCGTGAATACACCCCCATTCGGGCCAGGAAAAGGATAGATCTTCTAGTTAGAGAGCAGAAAGTCCCTGCCCAGTTGAAAAAGGAGATAGCTCTAAAGAGTGGAATGTTCCCTGGTGTGTTTAGAGAAGGATTTTGGGTACATGATAGTGTATCCCTGCCTTCTGAAATTGAAGAGTCAGATAAACTCAAGAAAGTATATTGGAGTGTTTAGAAAACACTGAAACAAAAACTTCTCATCCCCAAGATTTCGAAGTCTATTTTGAAGAATCCAGACATTTTCAGAGGTTGGGATTAAAAAAAGAGTGATCTCTACTGAAAAAAGGGTCATCTCAAATTGCAGTGGGTAACAGCCTGTGCTTGTTACCAACAGTGGGGTTTAATTTATCACATGGCAGGAGTAGCTTGCTAATAAAGGCTGTGTAGATCTTCAGAGCTGTGTGTGTAAGGCTGGCAGCTGGCTTTGGCAAACCCTGGCTTTTGAAGCACGTGGTCAGGTCCTGGCAAGACCAGAAGCAAGTCATACTATGTGGCTGCTTCGTGTGCGAAGGCTTCACAGCCATCCAGATACTGCTTCAAGTCTACAACCCTAAATAGGCCATGTGGGTAACATGTCTTGCCTCCTGCGGCTACTGAGGCAGGCATTGCTTTGCAGCAGGGGCCCTCGATGAGGTCTGGAGCAGCTTTCCCTTCCAGCTGAGGAGTTGTGACTCAGTGACAGGGCATTAGCTTGGCACACAGAAGGTCCCGAGGTCAATCCCTGGCATCTCCACTTCGGGTCATACATGATGTAAAAGGCAGAGACCTGGAGAGCAGTTGCCAATCAGAACAGACAGCACTCGCCTTGACAGACCAGTGTTCGGACTTGGCTTGAGGGGTCCCCACATCCGTGGATAGTAGAATAAGGGTCAGTCAGACATGCAAGTTTGGTTATTCCAAGACTGGTCTTCCAGGAGAAGCCTGTGGCAACCTCAAAAAGATGATGAGGGTGGTTGGTTTTTTGGCTAAGTGGCAGGCAGGAGGAAAGTTTGATTTTAAATTTGCTTTTTAGGTCTCTTAGCCACACAGCTGTGGGAGATGGGAATTATCCTGCTGACTCTGGCCTCTGTGGGCAGGGTTAAGTGTGCCAGGTCACCCTGGCATCTGGCAGGAGATTTCCTTTGTGGGGGAAGGGGTGCTTCCCCAGCCATGTAATTGGCGGTGACATACTGATGTTGCTGGAGACATGCTGTCATGACTCCCCATGTGCCAGGATGTGTTGTCAGGGATGCTCTGGCCTTTGGGCAAAGCTCTATGGTTAACCATAGAGTTTTGCCCAAAGGCCAGGGACATGCTGATATAATTTCCAGACAGATGGGCAGGGTTGATTGTCACCACACTGTATATACAGTTTGATTTTCCTGGAGTTTGTGGGCAAAAGGAAAAGCAGGGTGGGATTTTCCTTGAAATAGGCTCCATCGCTAGTTGAGCTCAGTGTTCCTCTTTAAACAGAATGTCGGACTGTGCTGGGGCTGGCCCAGGGTTCTAATGGGGCCTGCTCTTCTCCACAGGATGCTCAGCCCCACTCCGGCCTGCTGCAGGCTTCCATCATCACCCTCTACACCATGTTTGTCACCTGGTCAGCCCTCGCCAATGTGCCAAGTAAGTTTCCATCAACCTGCCCTTCAGGATCCCTTTCTTTGTTCCTTTGTATCCGCTGGGGCCATGTTTGGAGGCTGTGGTCAAACTGCAAAGCCACCAAGCCTTAGTGGGCAGGGCTTTTTCAGCAGCGGCACCTTGCCTTCTGGATTTCCTCCCCCTTGAGGGCTTCCCTGGCACCTACCCTATTTTGGGCATTAGGCCAAAGCATTTTTTTTTTCTTTTTATTAAACCCATATTTTCAACGATGAAGTTGTTCTTTAATATTATTTTTATAATCTGCTTCTGGCATAGACAGTTTTATGAGACTCTAGTTAGATGTTTTAATGCTGGGTTTTTGACAGTTAACTTAATATGTAGCCCCAACTAGCCTGATCTCATCAGATCTTGGAAGCTAAGCAGGGTCATCCCTGGTCAGTGCTTGGATGGGAGACCACCAAGGAGGCCTGGGGTTGCTAGGCAGAGGCAGGCAATGGCAGCCCCCCTCCGCTCAGCTCTCGCCTAGAGAAATCCAATTGTCTCGGGGTCACCATGAGTGAATTGTGACTTGACAGCACCCTCTCATCTTCGTTGCCACCACCAGACTCCTAGAGGAGGTTCTCTGGAGGGGGTGGCACAACAGTTTTCTAAATAAGCCTCTGCCAAAGCAGCCTCCAGCAACCGTTGGGTCTTGCGCTCTTAAGGGCCAGATGACAAGAGATGCTAGAAGATCACTGATTGTGTTTTCCAGTTCTTTTTTTGAACTGTGCAACTCAAAGAGTCGGTGGAGTTATAGGGTATATAATCTGGGCACAAGGGTTTTTTTTGTTTAATAAAGAGTTGTGTGCTGTCAAGAAGAAGAGGAGATTGGATTTATATCCCACCCTTCACTACATGAAGGAGTCTCCGAGTGGCTTACAATCTCTTTTCCCTCCCCCTCCCCACAACAGACGCCCTGTGAAATAGGTGGGGCTGAGAGAGCTCTCTTGAGAACAACTCCTGAGAGAACTTGTAACTGACCCAAGGTCACACCAGCAGCTGCATGTGGAGGAGTGGGGAATCAATCCCGGTTCTCCCAGATTAGAGTCTGCACTCCTAACCACTATACCAAATTGACAACAAGTTCATAGCAACCCTAAGACTATGGGGTTTTGAAGGCAAGAGATGAAAGCAGAGGTTGTTTGTTGTTGCCTCCCTCTGCATAGCAATCCCAGCCTTCCTTGGTGGTCTCCTGTCCAAGTAGTCACTAGGGCAGAACCTATTTAGCTTCCACGCTCTGACTAGATCAGGCTGGTCAGGGCTATTCAGGCTGCCTGAAAGTGTTTACTGCTGCACCATTGCAGCCGTCTTACGGTGATGCTGCAGGGTTTTAAGGCAAGAGATGAACAGAGGTGGTTTGCCCTGCCTGGACTTCCTTGGTGGCCTCCCATCCAAAGTCCGACTAGGGTGACCCTACTTAGCTTCTGAAACCTGACAAGCTTGGGCTATCCCGGGCTATCCAGGTCAATTACATTTATTTTTTTAAATTCTGCTTCTCCAGCAGAGATTGTCCCACATCCTCCCCTCCTCTTGTAAGCTTCAGGGTACAGTGGAGGTGTGATTCCGGAGCTTCACAGTCCTAGTCCATCCCATGACCCCCTGCACAATGGTGAACTTAATTCTCCATCACTGTGTATACATTTGTTGTAGAACCCATGGCAGTTCACTTGGAGGCATGATGGCATTTCTATCCATCCTTCTACGCTCCTTTTCCAGCTTCTGTTTCCCTCATGTTTGGATTTGGCCGATGTGCTGCTATCATCTCTGGGCTTGGCTGCACTTCCTGTCTACTGCATTTGCTAAATTTTTGGGCACTGGATGTTCTTCCTCAGTGCTTGAAACTTGAGGTCCTGCCTTTGGGAGATGGTGGGGATTAAACCTGTGACTTTCTGTGAGTGAAACAGATGTTTTTCCCACTGTGTATGCAATTTTGAGCTCTTTGAAGGAAGAGGAGGCAGAAATAAAAAATGAACCAGGCTGCTTGCAGGGCTGTGGGCAGGGACATGGTGGTTGGTTCTTCAGGTGTAATCGTTTTTTGATTTCTTGGTCTTGTTCCTCGTAGACAAGTATTGTAACCCAACCCTTTTGGTACGAGTGGAGAACAGCAACACAACAGCTGTGTCAGATGGTGGACTGATGACACAATGGTGGGATGCTCCGAGCATTGTGGGATTGGTGATATTTGTCCTTTGCACGCTCTTCATAAGGTGAGAATCTCTGTTCTCCGGGACAGCTTCCATTCTGTGGAATGTCAAACCTAAACTACATTTGGGTAAGGGCTGGGGCTCGGTCATAGAGCACCTGTGGGCTGTCCACAAGGATACCTGGTCGCAGGTGATGGGTTACCGTCTCTGCCTGAAGCCCTGTATGGGCCACTTCCAGTTGAGTAGGTTTTATTGAGCAAGCCAGGTCAAAGCGTAAATCATAAGAACAGAAGAAGAACCCTGCTGGATCAGACCAGTGGTCCATCCAGCCCGGCATCATGTCTGACACCGTGGCCAACCAATTCCTCTGGAGGTCCAACGAGCAGGGCATAGAGCTGAGGCCATCCCTTGATGTTGTCTCCTGGCTCTGCTGTTCAGAGGTTTACTGCCTCTGAATGTGGAGGTTCCCTTTAGCCACCATGGCTAGCAGCCACTGATAGACCTCTCCTCCATGAATCTGTCTAATCCCCTTTTAAAGCTGTCTGTGGCCCATCACTACATTCTCTGGCAGCGATTTCCACATTTTAATCACTCACTGCGCAAAGAAGTCTTTCCTTTTGTCTGTCCTGAATCTACTGCCCAACCGCTTCATTGAAGGCCCTCGAGTTCTAGTAACTGGGAGAGGGAGAAAAAGTTCTCTTTGCCAGCTCTCTCCATCCCTTGCATAATTTTATAACCCTCTATCATGTCATCCCTTTAGTCATCTCTTCTCTAAGCTGAGAAGTCCCAGTCTCTTCAGCCTTTCCTCACAGGGAAGGTGCTCCACATGTGCTCATATGTGCAGAGGTTTTGGGAAGAGGTGTTGGCTCTTCAGCAGAGCACACACTTTGCAAACAGAAGGTCCCAGGTACCGTCTGTGTGGCATCCCCAGTTAGAGTATCGTACATAGGCAGTAGTAGGAAGGACCTTTTTTTTGGTATTTTTAAAATATGTGTGCGTGTGTGCCCTTGGAAGTCACAGCGACCTCTGATGACTGATCCCTACTGGGGGCCTGAATAAAGCCTGCCCCGGCCTCCCGCCTCTGGCCTTCCAAGGCGGTCTCCCACCCAAGGACTTGCCAGAGTGGACCCTGCTTAGCTCCCGAGATCTGAGGAAAGGGCCTTTCTTGGCCTGAGAACCCTGGAGATCCACTGCCAGTCGAGTAGACAAGACAAGTTGGGCGAATGGCCTAATTCACCAAGGCAGCTTGGCCGTTTTTTAGCATGATTGCAGCCATGTGAGAGAGCTGCTTTTCAAAAAGCTGCTCCCACAAAGGCTGAGCGCCCTTCATGGCTTTCTGGAACGCAGCTGTGATGAGAACCTCGGCTGTGGGCGATGGTCAGAATCCAAGCTGTGCCTCCTGTTTGGCTGATTGCTGATAATAGTTCCACAGCAGGGGGCCTGGCCCCTCTCATGTGGAAGGGGCCGCAGTGAATGCTGGGAGAAAATAAGAGGCACCGTTGAAAGTGTTCTTGTGCCAAGTGAACAGGGGAGCCTGCTGAGTGGTCTCCACAGGAGGTACCAAGTTATCTCAGGATAGCTTCCACTCTCCCTCTGGTGGTAATGAGATGTAAATTCCTCCCTAAGGATTTTTTTTCTTTAATTTTTAGAAATGTCACATATTTTCAAGCAAGCAAATGCAGCATTGCTTACATGGGGGCAGTTTAAGGAAAAATAGGGAAGTTGGCTGGGTTTCAGACAGCCGCACAGCTTTTCTGATTTCAATGGGCTCCAAACTCTGTTCTTCAGTTCCATTTATGGTTGCCAACTCTGAGCTGTGAAATTCTTGGAGACTTGGGGGCGGAGCTGGGGAAGGTGGGGTGTGGGGAGGGGATGGACCTCAGTGGGGTATAAGGCCATACAGTCCACCCTCCAAAGCCACCCTTTTCTCCAGGGGAGGGCGGGGTATAAATTGCATGAATGAATGAATGAATAAAAATTGAACTCTGTAGTCTGGAGATCAGTTATTATTCCAGGAGATCTCCAGCCCTCTCCTGGAGGTAGACAACCTTATTCCCATTGTTTCCAGTGGGGCTTTGGCTTAGTTGTTCTCACTGAGATGGTCAGCCAGAATGGAGGCTGTTACCACATCAGCCTGCAGCTAGTGACTGAATGTTACTCTGTGCAAAAACTGTCTGTGTGCCTAGTCTTTTATGTATGTATGTGCCGTCAAGTCACAAGTGACTTACCCCCAGCGAGGGGCTTTCAAGGCAAGTGAGAATCAGAGGGGGTTTGCAATTGTCTTCCTCTGCAGAGCCTTCCTTGGCGGTCCCTTATCCAAGTACCGACCCTGCTTAGCTTCCCAGGTCTGATGAGACTGGGCTATGCTGTACCATTCCATTCCATACTATGTTCAGAGGTGGTTTGCCATTGCCTATGTCCAAGTTATGACCCTGGTATTCCTTGGTAGTCTCCATGGTCAACCCTACTTAGCTTCCGAGATCGGATGAGATCGGGTTAGCCTGGGCTATCCAGGTCAGGGCAGACATAAGCTTCCATGAGTTAAATACCCTAGAAAATTTTGTTGGTCTTTAAGATGCTACTGGACTTGGACTTTGTTTGCCTACTAGTCCAGCTATCCACCTGAAAGTTACCTGCCCCATGAATCTCGATGGATAAAATGTGTTGGGTTTCAATGTTCTAGGACAAACGGGGGAAAATATACAAGATAAGGAGGTGTGTGGATGTAACTTTTCTCTGTTTACCACCAGCATCCGGTCCTCCGATCACGCACAGGTGAATAAGATGATGCTGACAGAGGAGAGCCCAGCGATGCTGAACGGGAACACCCCAGCCTTGGAAGACGGGGTACACCGGGCTTATGACAACGAGGAGGACGGAGTGTCTTACAACTACACCTTCTTCCACATCTGCCTCCTCTTGGCCTCCCTCTACATCATGATGACCCTCACCAACTGGTACAGGTGTGTTTGGCCACTGCGTGCATGTCCTTTGCTGTGAAGGAGCTGGAGCTGGACAGTCCAGGACAGTGGGAAGGGGTCTGGACATAGGATATGGCATAAGAATTCTGTAGTGGAAAGAGAGGAGGCTTCATGCTGCAGTTCTGCTGTCAGGCAGTCTCTTGAGTCCACAGCATGAGCTTTGTGCCTCATGCTGGGAAATTCCTGGAGATTTGGGGGTGGAGCCTTGAGGGGTGCGGTTTGGGGAGGGAACTCAGCAGGTATAGTGCAATAGAATCAATGCTCCATAGTAGCCATTTTGTATGGGGGAATTGCTCTCTGTAGTCTGGAGATGGTTGTATTTGCAGGAGATCTCCAGACCTTACCTGGAGGTTGGCAATCCTATTTTTGCTAATAATGGCTGGGGTAGGAAGTGAGGCATTTAATCCCCCACCCCTGAATTGGTGCTTATTTTAGTAATAAGTTAGATTTCAGTTTGCCCCATTATTGGAAACATACAGGCAGTCTGGGCCAAGAAGCAACCAAAGTGTGGGGTGGGGGGGGGGAATAGTATTGTGAAATGACCACAGTCTGGCTTGTGTCAATCGGGGGGGGGGGACTCTGGAGATCTGACTTCTCTGTTCATACAGTGTGTGTTGTGGGAGAGAGGCTGATCCGACATGGATATTCTTGAAATCCATCTTTGTTTAGGATGTAGGAACTAGAAACAGCAGTTGGTAACTCAGTATGAGGGAGGAGAGGTTATTCTGTAAAACTTCAGCACAGAACTTGGTTTAATATTTTATCACGGCTGCCTGTGCTCTGGGTTTGCTTTCCTTATGTATCTGGCTTGGAAAGGCTTAAATTCCTCCTGAACAGTGTTCTAAAACTGCATTCCTTTGTATATCAGTGTATCTGCATACCGTCTCCATATGTTACCGGGGTGGTAAATGAATCTATTTTTTTTTTCAAATAATAATAAACAATGTAGTGCTATAAAACTAAGACAGCAGCAAAAACTTTAAAAATGAAAATTTAATCTAAAAATGAAAATGTCGTACACCGTCAATCTAGAGCCAGTGTAGTGTAATAGATAAGAGGGTCAGACCAGGATCTGGGAGATCTGGGCTGGAGCTCCATGGAACTCACCTGGTGACCTGGGGCTAGCCTAACCTACCTCTTGATAAAATTGAGAAAAGAATGATGTAAACTGCTTTGGATGTGTGTTGGAGAGAAAGATGGGATGTAAATGAGGGAAACTGATCCAGTTTGACTCCTGAGAAGAGTGTTGCGTAAGGTAGGTGCCACTGTGGAGAAGCCCCTGCTTCTCTTGGGAGATCCAGAGCTCTGATGCTGTTCTTAATTTCTGGTCAGGCACTAGTGGGTGTAGGCACTTCTTATAAGGTTCTTAGGCTGCTTTGGGGCTTTAAGAATAAGAACCAGGCTTTAAATCAGGCCTTGAAAAGAACAGGCAGCCAGTGGAGTTCATCTAAGAATGATGCATTTCTTATCAGTGCCTTCCAGCAGTACTGCCATCCCACTTGGATTGGCTGAAGCTTCCAAACCATCTTTGTAGGTGTCCTCTGACCCTGTTATGACTTGTGCATGGGTAACTATGGCAAAATTATTTTTCTGAAGGAGAAGCCCAGCCTGAGCTGGTCAGAGGTGCTGTGTGTGCTATATGTGAGACTCATCCATCCATGGGCTCTGATCACGTAGCACCTCCAGGCTACAAGCCTGTTCCGTCTTGGGGAATCCAGTTCTGTCCAAAACCAGCTGAACAGCTTTCTGATCAGACCCTTTTATCAACTGGCAACACATCCGTCACAGCAGGATTATGCTGAAGTTTACTGGCCCTCATCCAGTTTTTCCGCATCTCAAACGTGGTACTTTGAAAACCAGTAGACTAGTCTGTTTGAGGCTGGCCTTATCCTTCTTGTTCCACTGACTCCCCCACCCCCCAAAAAGACATTTCCCTTCCCCAAGGATTATCGATTAATAGAAAAAGGGATTTGTTTTGTTTTGCAGTCCACTAGTGTTGGCTTTTTTTTTCTTGAGAGAGGGAGGGGGAAACACTGGTTTTTGTGATTGTTTTGGTGGGGTTTGTGGTTTGGAACTTTTAAAAAATAATTTGAGTGGTTTGGATTGTTTTACCATGGTTATTTAATTCCTGGTAGCTTTCTGGAGCACTTCTGAGCAGGTGGGGTACAAATTGTGTGAAAATAGAAATTCACATCCCTGTGGGGAACATCCTGTCCCACTTGATGGTTGCAGAGAAGTCTAACGTGGTGTCCTCAGGAGTATCCGGTGTGTAGACATCTCCTTTGCCCTGGGAACGATGGCTGTTTGGGGGCTAGAGAACCAGGGAAGTTTATTTCGGTATCACCCCTATTAAAGTGGCAGGTTCTGTTACCCCCATAAGGCTATTTATCTCCCCATCATATGATTTTTCTTTTGATTTAAGGAATCAAGAGAGCTTCTTGTGAGACCATATTTTTTCCTAGCCAGGCCACATTTCTGTCACATGCTAAGAGATAAGTAAGGACAACATGTCTGCCTGAGTAAAAACCACCTTGTCGGTTTGGTCCCAACAGCAGCTGAGGAGAGAATTTTCTGTGGATTGTTGCATTTTTGTCCCACTCTTCCTCCTAGGAAATCCCTCCATTCCATTTTAATCCACACAGCAGCCCTGTGAGGTAGGCTCAGGAGAGACAGAGAGAGAGAGAGAGACCACCGTGGCTGGCCCAAAGTCATTCCATGTGCTTACATGGCAAGGGTAGGATCTGAGCCCTTGCTGTTCCTCCCCCCATCCCAGTCCTAGTCAGACACTTGTAATAATTATGGGGAGATTTGAACCCATGTTCTTCCCCCGCCCCAGTCAGACACTTCTAAATATCATGGTGGGTGGGATCCTGTGCAATGTGCCCCCTAAACGTCCAAGGTGCAAGCTGCATACTGAGTTACTCCTTTTTTTAGGCTTGTGGTGTTCAGCTTTACCCTCTGCTGTTGCCTAGGCAACGAACATGGAGCGGCAGTTTTGCTAGGCCATGCTTTGAGGAGGAGAGCGAAAGGCCATCTCCTTGGATGAACTCACTTTAGGGGGGCAGAGGGCTCACAGTGCTCAAGGGCATTTCCTCCTGAGCGGTTCCAGAGGGGCATGGTTTGGGTTTTTCAAAGCCGGAACGACCTGCCTGGATCCTGGTATGTCTGCACCTTTAGCTGTAGCTAGGCCTTTCTCACTGCTGTGAGCACCTGGCTATTTATAGCGCATGACTTTGCTGCCGCATTCCTCCTGCAAATGTGCCAGAGCCACAAAGCATTTGCTCTTGTCTCTTAGCGAGCTTGGCAGCACATGGGAAACTGGCAGCTAGCTCCAGTGTTCTGTTGGTTTGGGGCCACAAGCTTAAACTGTTTCGCTCTCTCCCCACCTCCCCTCCCATGCCAGGCTTTGAATGGCTAGCATAGAGGCAGCCAGCATAGGGAAAGGTTGGCCATCTATGGGCAGAGTCCCACAGAGAGCGGATGGTTGCCAAAGGGGCAGGAAGGGAAAGTGTGAGAATGCATCTTGGCTAGAACAGGCGAGGCTGCTTTGCTCTCTCTTCCGGTGATAATCCCCTTCATAAAAATAAAAAATTAAATTAACTGGGAAAACTTGGGAGATGCCAGTGAGTGGGCACTTCATGGTCTCTGTATGTTAGATTACTTGTGAGGAAGCGCCCAAAAAAATCTACCTGTAAATATTGCACGGACAAAAATAACTGAGCCAGTAAAGCAGCAAATAACTGAGCAGTAAAGGGAACTTCTGTGCAGCTAAGGCAGATGTAGTTATTTGAGACTGGCCTTGTTGGACTGAAATAAGGCTCTATTCAGACATCGCCTGCAAACTGGTGTGTGTTTATGGTATGCTCAACCATAGTTACCTTTGGCTTCCACCCTCCCCTTGCATGCTGCTCAGAGATTTGGGAAGTCTTCAGCCTGACACCTTTTTGTTGTGACATATTGACACACTCACATTAATGGGAATTTGTTACTTTCCCAGTAACCAGGTTTAGAATCCCAGTTTGTGAGAAAGAAGGAAATGCCATTTGGCAAACACTAGTTTGCACCCACATTCAGACTTGACAGAATTGGGGCTCATGTCAGGAAGTCCGTAAGCTCTTTGAAAGGAAGGGAAGGGAGCACAGGAGCCCAAAGCAAATCTGGTTGAGTCCTTGTCACAAACCCCAGGTTGTTCCCAGATTGCAGCTCATTCTCTTAGCCACTGTGCTTATATAAAAGTACAGTGGCTGTTGGTGTGAACATCTGTTCCTCTGACCCTGCCCAAGGGAGCAAGGTGATGCTGATTGTGGGGAAGGAAAGTTTGGGAAGAACTCCACCAGCTGTGGAACATTCAAGCTGAGCTTTTGAATCTCTTCTTGTTTAATGGTAGTGTGCCATCAAGTTGTGACTGACTCCTTGTGACCCCATGAAGTTCCACCTCCTGAGGTTTTCAAGGCAAGAAATGAGCAGAGATGGTTTACCATTGTTGTCCTCTGCCTAGCAGCCTGTCTTCCTTGGTGGTCTCCCATCTGAGTACTAACCAGGGCTGAACCTGCTTTGGTTCTGAGATCTGACAAGATTTGGCTAGACTGGGCTATTAAGTCTGCTTCCTGTTTGTGTGTGTTTAAGTGCCATCAAGTTGCTTCCAACCTATAGTGATGCTATGAATTAATGACCTCCAAAACACCCTGTCATTAACAACCTTGCCCAGGTCTTGCAGTCTGAGGGCCTTTGTGGCTGCCTTGATTGAGTCAGTCCATCTCCTGTTGGGTCTTCCTCTTTTCCTGCTGCCTTCAACTGTTCCTAGCACTATTGTCTTTTCCAGTGACTCTTGTCTTCTCAGAACATGATCAAAGTACAATAGCCTCAGTTTAGTCATTTTAGCTTCTAGGGAGAGTCCAGGCTCAATTTAATCTAGTACTCACTTATTTGTGTCTTTAGTGGTCCATGGTATCCGTAAAACTCTTTTCCAACACCACATTTCAAATGAATCTATTTTCTTCCTGTCTGCTTTCTTCACTGTCCAGCTTTTACACCCGTACGTAGTAATGGGGAACACTGTTGTATGAATTATCATGTGATCTTGGTCTCCAGTGACACATACTTAAACTTAAGGGATCTTTTCTAGCTCCTCCCTGGCTGCCCTTCCCAGTCTCAATCTCCTTCTGATTTCTTGCTTGCAGCCTCCCTTTTGGTTGATGATGGAGCCAAGGAATAGAAAATCTTGAACAATTTTCAATTTCTTCATCGTAAACCTTAGAGTTCTGTAATTCCCCAGTAGTCATTACTTTTGTCCTGATGTTCAGCTGTAATCCTGCACTGGCACTTTAGTCTGGGCGTGGCCAGAGGCACAAGCTTTTTGGCGCAAGCCAAAGAGGGAACGTGGCTGACAATATGTGACTGTGAGTCAGCTGTCCAGTGGATCTAGGACCATTGGAGGGATTGGAACTGTATATTTTCCCTCTTGAGTTGCATAAATTATAGTTGCTTTCAGTTTCCAGTTTTGGAGAAAAGTGGCGTACAGATGCCTAAATGATCGTGCTAAACCAGGGTTTATTTTAACTGTGATTTGCTTGTTTCTAAGACTAGGGTTCAGCTTGCAGATAACCACTCAATTCCTGGCTTGCATTGACAAATGCTTGTTTCAGTGCTTTCTCTCTGTAGACTTTTGGGACATCCCTGCCAGGAAGTAAGCTAGGTGTCAACCAGGACATTCCGTGAAATCATCACGAAGACTCTGTTGGTTAGTAAAACTGACCTGCTCTTGACTATAGGTGAACCTGAACGAACCATTGTTCATGGAGCGGCATATGCATTCAGATGATCTCACAAACCAAAGCTTGATGAAACCATGGGTTTGTGTGTGATGTTTGAACTGAACCAAAGGAGAGGATGCACCAGTATTAATTGTGCTTTCTCCCCCCCCCCCACACCTTGACACTGCAGAATACCTTTAGGGAGATGCTTTGCATTGGAATTTTGAGTAGTTTTAAACATCTACTTTCTCTGATTTGGGGGGGCCTCTAGTAACCAAGTATGCCCTGACCTGGATCACCCAGGCTAGCCCAATCTCATCAGATCATGGAAGCTAATCAGAGTTATCCCCAGGGCTATTTTTGGGCAGGAACACACAGGAACGGAGTTCCGGCTGGCTCCCAAGTTGGCCACGCCCAGCAGGGACTCATTAGCATAATAGGCCACACTCAACAGCAGAAACTCATTAGGATTGGCTACAATTAGGGGTATGTGGCCTAACATGCAAAAAGCCCTGGGTAAAGAGAATAAGAAGCAATAGGTGGGTGTGGCTGGATGACCACACTTCTGGTAACATGGGGGTGTGGCCTAATATGTGAATGAGCTGTGCTGTCAGGGTGTGGCCTAATATGCTAATAAGTTCCTGCTGGGCTTTTTCTACAAAAAAAAGCCCTGGTTATCCCTAGTTAGTATTTGGATGGGAGACCACCTTTGGACCCTCTTAAGCTGTGGAGTCTTGTGAGCAAAAATTCTACTTTGTGAGCTACTGGCATTAAAGTTGTGAGCGGGCAGTTTGGCTACTGAATAAATTAGTTTGCTCTGGACCCCCATCCTTCCTGAGCTAAGACAAAAATGTGTGAGCCAGAGGCTAAAAAACTGAGCTGGCTCACTCTGACTCAGCTTAGAGGGAACACTGGAGACCACCAAGGAAGGCAGTGGCAAACATCTCTTGCCTTGAAAATCCCACCAGGGGTTGCCAGAAGTGGGTTGCAACTTGATGGCGCTTTTGACCACCACCAAGAATAGTGGAGACGGATTTAGGTACACATCCCGTGTTGCATTTAGTGGCAGGCTGTTTTGAATTGGGATTTTTTTCTCTCTGATTCAAGCAGCATATAAATGGGGTGCTCTTCTCTTGAAATTGCTCCCTCAGGGTTTTCCTTACTATGTGTCAAATGCACTCAGTGGCACGCTCGTACAAAGAAATGTGCCCCAAAAAAAGCATTGGAAGAATGTTGTAAAGCAGCTGTGTTGTGACAAGATTTCAGTTCCTGCTTGCCACCAGTATGAGCAAGATGGTTAGGTGAATGGCAGCGGAACAAATCCCAAAGGACGCGGGTAGTAGAGAAGGAAGTGTGTGAGTGATGATGGACAGGAAGAGCCAGTGCAAGAGAGAAGGCCTGGCCACTGTCACGCATGCTTAGGTGACTGCTAGACTGCTAGAGGATGCTATATGGGAGACTGACCTTGGAAATGGTTCAGAAACTCCACCTGGTGAGAAACACTGCCATTCACCTCTTGATGGGGGTAAGTCAGAACAGCTATACTGTCCCTGTTCTGGGGAACATGCTGTAGGCACTTATAGACCTATCCTTTGTATTTATGTAGTTCCTCCCCAGTGCCCCTTTAGCCATCTGAGCTAGCGGCTGTATTTTTGTGATAGGAAGTCCCACAAATTATGCACTACCTGAAGAAGTACTTCCTTTGTGTCCATCCTGAATTTTGTGTGTGTGTGCATGCGCACCTGGAAGTCATGGTGACTTCTGGCGACTGACCCCTTCTGGGGCCTGGAGGATATTCAGAGAGGTGGCTGAATAAAACCTGCATCTGCCTCCTACCTCTGGTATCCCAAGGAGGTCTCCCATCCAAGTACTTGCCAGAGTCGACCCTGCTTAGCTTACGAGATCGGGCTCTCCTGGGCTATTCAGGTCAGGGGTCCATCCTGAATGTTGATGTCTCTTACTTACATTTATAGACCCCATATGATGATGTCATTAGAGTGTCAGGCTAGAATCCGGTGAGACCTAGATACAACCCCCCCTGTGTTATGGGAGCGTGCTAGGTGACCTCAGATCAATCACCCTCTCTCACCCTAACCTACCTCACAAGGTGGTTGTTAGGATAAAGTGGAGGAAGGGAGAACAGTGTTGTAAGCAGCTTGATGACCTTGTGCCAAGTTCCTCCCTCTCAGTTTGGTGTAGCCAGTTTGGTGTAGTGGTTAAGTGTGCGGACTCTAATCTGGGAGAACCGGGTTTGATTCCCCGCTCCTCCACTTGCACCTGCTGATTTGACCTTGGGTCAGTCACAAGCTCTGGCACAGCTGTCCTTGAAAAAGAGCCGTTTGTGTCAGAGTTCTCTCAGCCCCACCTACCTCCCAGGGTGTCTGTTGTGGGGAGGGGAAGGGAAAGGAGTTTGTAAGCCACTCTGAGACACCTTTGGGTAGTGAAGGGCGGGGTATAAATCCAATCTCTTCTCTTCTTCTCTTCAGCCCAATCTGCCTCTCGAGATTGTTCGGATGGAGTAGAGGAGGGAAGAGCTGTGTTGTAAGCCACTGGGTGACTCAGGCCAATCTCACTCTCTCAGCCTAACCTCCTTCACAAGGTTGTTGTTCAGGTAAAGTGTAGGAGGGAAGAACAATGTTGCAAGCCACTTAATGTTCCCACTGGCAAGTGAAATGGGGTATAAATAGACACAGGAGAAGGCTGCTGCTGAGCTGTCTTAAAAAGATGAAACAAATATCATCTTTCTTTTTTTGGTGAGCATTTTGTGTCCGTGTGCATGCTTGGAAGTCATGGTTGACATGTGGCGACCCCTAGTGGGGCTTGGATGTTTCAGAGAGGTGGCTTGCTATTGCCTGCCTCTGCGTCCCAGCCCTGGTATTCCTTGGAGGTCTCCGGTCCAAGTACTTGCCAGGGTTGGCCCTGCTTAGTTTCCAATATCTGACAAAACTGGGCTTGCCTGGGCTATCCAGATCAGGGCTGAAATCATATACTGTTTCTCTCTTCTTCCCTCCCCAGACCTGACGAACATCACCAGGAACTCACCAGTCCGTGGACTGCAGTCTGGGTGAAGATCTCATCCAGCTGGGCTGGGCTCCTCCTCTACACGTGGACGCTGATTGCCCCCATTGTGCTGCCAGACAGAGATTTCCACTGAAAGACATCCCCAAACACTTCGCCAGCAAAAGAGGTCTTGCTGCAAGGTGGAAGCCACAAGGAGGAGCCTTGAAATTAGATCTGGGCTCTTTGGTCCCTGTGGGCATTGGAGCTGCTGCCGTCATCCTGTTCTTCTGCATTCAGACTTGTGCCTTTTTTACCACCCTTGGTTTTTATTTCTAAGGAAAGTGATGCCAAAAAGGGATTTTCTGTTGCTTGTGTGAAATGCTGGATGGTTAAGAAAATATAATAGGAAGGAGTTGTTTGTCACTGTTGGCAGTGACCTTCGGAACATGTTATGGAATAATTAAGGAAACCCATAATGTTCTGCACTGTCTTTATTTCTGAAGAATGTTCTGAAGAATCATTTTAAAATGTAGCTGTCTTAAACTAACTCTCTTATACCGATATGCCTTTTGCCCGGAAGCCTTTTACCTGTGTACCTTTTGATACTTGACTTTAAATGGGGTACGGGGGGAGAAATATTGAAATAAACAGACAACTTTTGAGTGTCAAACTTCAATTAGCACTGCTCGGGCAATGAGGCTCAATTCTGGTTGTGGGGATTAGCTTTGACTTACCATAAGCAAATGTTGCATTTGGAAATGAAGCAAAACAAGACTCCTTGAACGGCACTTTCATGCACACGAAATCAAGTACTTTCAAGGCATTTTGCAACTGGATTTTACTGTGTGAAACAGCAAAATCCACTTGTGAAAGATTGCTAAAGTGTATTGAAAGTTGTTTCTTGTGTGCATGTGTGTGGTAGTGTCATGTGCACTTTAAATCCATTTTCAGTGCACTTTAGTGATTGTTTGCAATGGGGTTTGACCATTTCACACAGGAAAATCCAGTTGCCAAATGCACTGAAAGTGAAATACGTTTTTTAATCTTTGCTAGTCTTTAAAGTGCCACTGGAGTCCTGGGGTTTGCTACTACAGACTCACATGGCTGTAATTATTTGGAAATTGAGAAAGTTTGGCTCTGACGGACCCAGTATATGAGGGATTGAGGGGGGGGGGTCAGGGTTTTTAATACACCTCTGGGCATAGAACCAATAGAACGCTCCAGTTTTGTTGCCGGCTCCTGAACTCTGTCTTCCATCCCCCAATTGTGACTACACTGGAGGGAATGGAGCATCATTCTCTTACGTTCCTTTTAGCCCCATAGGTGCTGGATGACCAAAAAAGGAGTGGGGGGGGGGTTGGAAAAGGACTGGGCTTCTGGCTTTTTCTCAACACAAGGCAGTGCTACCCAATCATCTCTCAGCCCAGCAAGAGTTCTGGGGAACTTAAACTTGAACACTGTTTTTGACTTTCCCTTCACTGAACACTAGAGGGCACCACCTGTCTATGCAGAACAAGGAATTGGTCTCTTGGTGTAAACGGTTTGCTAAGGTTTCTTTTCTAACCCCCCTACCCCCCCCCCCCCCAAAACCCATGGGTAGCGGATGCAGTTCCTATGCCTTGAGGTTCCCTTTGGGTAGTGTGAAGTGGAACAGATTGTTGCAGTTCATGGTATCTTTCAATATAGTGGAAGGAGCCGTATCCAAGGAACCAACTTTGTAAGAAAAGTCTCTCTGCATCATTAGCACACGGGCAGCCAGCCCAGTGCCTCTGAATGCTCAAAGGTATGGAGCGTGATAGCTCTCTCCTCTTGCTGACTCCCAGTTGGAGCTATACTACATCTGAACATGGAGGTTCCATTTAGTATCCATGGCTAATAGCAGTTGGCAGGCCTCCACGGATCTGTAGACACCTTTTTTAAAAGCTGCTTGCCATCATCACATCTTGTGGCAATGAGTTCCAGAAGTCAGTCTTTGTGTGCTAGATGCAGAAGCACTTCATTACTTCCTTCATTCTGTCCTGAACTTTTACTACCCATCTCCTTCACTGGGTGCTCCCAAGTTTTAGTATTATGGGGGAGAAAGAGCAATAGGTCTCCTATTCTCTGCAAATAGCTGTATACACGTGAACACAGGAAGCTTCCTTATACTGAATCAGACCCTGGGTGCATCTAGGTCAGTATCAGACTGGCAGGAGCTCTGCAGGATCTCAGGCTGAGGCCTTTCCCATCATGTACTGCCTGATTCTTTTATCTGGAGCTGCTGAGATTTGAACCTGGAGCCCTCTGCATGCCAAGCAGATGTTTTACTGTTGATCCATGGCCCCTCCCCCTACAATCTCTTTTTTGAAGCTTAAGAATGGTTTAGCCATTTCCTAAAAATGGAAGTTACCAACTACTGAAGCAGCTGGATTTCTTTTTTCCTACACCTCCTCCAGCTCTGTTTTCCTTTTGTAGAGAGTGCTACTCTAGCCTTCATTTTTGCAATCCCCTATTTCTCTTTTCTATTACTCCTGGCACTGAATTTGCCTTCTTCATTGCTGCCCAAATACAGAGATGATCTCCCCCCCCACACCCCCGTGTAGGCCCCAGCTCTTTCTGCCTAGACAGGTGCAAGCAGTTCAAACACCATCGACATATATGCAATTAGGATCTCCCCCCCCCCCCCTAGCTTTTAAGAAAGAAGAAATCGTAAGGGAAAAAAAAGATTGTGGGAAATGAAGGTTGGTGGATTCGTTTCTCACAATCAAAGGGAATATTTGAGCAGAAGCAGGAAGTGGCCAAAAGAGTCTTGCCTGCCCTGCTTATGACCCTGGAAAGAAGGCCATATATCGTCCCAGTCAAGGTGCAGCCGCAGGCTCTGCGCTCCATTCCCACCCCCTCCCTGATCTGATCAGGCATCAGTTCAGGTGGCTTCCTGGTTGAGATTGGCCCTCCACCTGCCCACTCGGGAAACAGCCTGCCCTGCGCGACTCCTTCTCCTGCTTGAGGCTCGTTGCTGAAGTGGCTCCGCGAAGCAATTTATTTATCAAGGGCCTTTTATGATGTGTGTACCTTCTGATCTGGTTGCCGTAAAAGGTAATAAGTGGATTACTGCCTTTCCGCGGCTCTCGGGCAGGCAGACGCGGTGACATCATCCCCTTTGCCCACTAATTGGACTTAATCCACTGTTTTATTGTCTCTCATTGACTTTTGTTTTTAAAGAGAAGAGACAGGAGGAGGAGGGAGGCTGTTGGAGACCTGCGGTCAAAAGAACAGAGTACACTTGGGCCGCAACCGAAGTTCTCGCGCTTGCCGGTAGGCGACACAAGGGCTTTGGGTCGGATATTCGAGTGGAGTTTTGTGCCTCCCAGACTCAGCTGCGATTCCTTCTCCTTGTGAGCAGGCCGTGTGGGGCAGAAGGACCGCAGCCTCCACGCATGCTGTCTCCCCTCTTTAAACTGCCCCATGGAGCTGCGATGGGCTTCGTTTGCAAAATCACCTAACTTAGATGGCAGCATTTAAGCTTTGCAATGGAGCCTGTATCGGCCCAAGCTAGCCTGATCTCAGAAGCTAAGCCGGGTCGGTCCTGGTTACTACTTGGATTGGGAGACCACGAAGGATGTCCAGGGTCTCTGTACAGAGGCAGGCAATGGCAATCCACCTCTGAATGCCTCTGGCCTTGGAGCCCTTACAGTGGGGGACCCCAGTGAGGTGCCTGTGGGCACCATGGCACTGTCAGCAAGCTGCCAAAGGGTGTTGTCTGTATGTGCATTATGGATTGAACCCCCCCCCTCCGTCTCCCCTCTGTAGTTAGCCTCTTATGCGCATGTCTACCCTGCCTCCCATGCACTCATCTTTTCATTAATCTGCATTCCCTTCCATGAACGCTAGTATCGCTTTGATGTACCGTTATCTGGCCAAGGCCACAGGTGGTGAAATGCAGGCGGCTTTGCTTAGTCTTTAATGAGCAGTAGTGTGGGAATAGAATAATTGTTTAACTTATTAGAACCGTTGCTTCACAGGGTTTGGGCTTGCGGTTGGCATCCTGCGCGTAGGCGGGAACCATATCTATTGGCTAGTGTGATTATGAACCTTCTTTATCCTACCTTGCAACGCACATCGTGGTATTCTGAACAGAGAATCTGTTCTAAGTACTTCATGGCTTCAATAAAGTAAAACCTTCCTGCAAGTGCGTACTTCATTGCCTGCTGTGGGGTCTGACATTCTGTTCAGAATCCATTTTTCCTCATCCCTACGCATCTATCAACTCCGATATGAGCGAAGGCGAGGGGAAAACCAACCCGGAGAAATCTCCACCAGATTCCGAAAGTGAGGAGTCCGACCACGGGGAGGATTCCCCGGAAACTTCGGCATCTGTACCGGTCACCACGGCGCCACCGCTGTATACCCCGGGACGAGGGGCCGTCCCGAAACAGGAGCCGGCGTTCCTGACTCCGCAAGGGGCCCCGTACCGCGCCACCGCCAGAGTTGGAGCCAGTTCGATGCCGCGACTACCAGGGAGACGTATTCACACCAGGGAGCTAGATTACGAGACAGCATCTATGATAGAGGTTGGGGAGACTCGGGCCTGGAGGCCCTGGGAGTCGAATCCGAGGAGCCGTCGGTCCCATCGTGGGTGACGGAGCGGAGAAGGGGCAAGGAGATCTGACCTACCCCTGATGAGACGGTGATAGAGAGAATCGAGGCCATGGACCGAAACGTCCGTCAGCTCCAACAAACTGTGGAAGAGATAATGACTACTCTACCCGATATGGTCATGCGAACCTTCGAAGAAATGTGGGAGAGGTTGCACCCGGCCGACAGGGCGGGGGGGGGGCAGAAACCGCCCGGTCAGCAACCGCCTGATCGGGGACAACAGGTTCCCCTTGGGGTGCCGGATGGCCAAGCACCTCGGCATGCACCCCTGCCCCGCGAGGCACCAGCGCCAAGGCAACCGGTGAACCAACGTCCCAAAGACTTGATCGAAGCTACATTTGACGGAAACCCCAAAGAGCTGGCCTACTTCGTGGTACGAGTACGAAAGTTCCTCGACCGCTCAGGGTACCTGTTCCTCGATGATAGCAGCTGGATCGATGTGGTCGCCGTGGCCACTTGGTATGTGAGCCTGCACAACTTGGGGGGCCCCAAGCTTAGAGACATGCATGCTTTCATGTGGGCCCTGCGAACCAATTCGAAGATGTGAATGCAGGCCCGCGGGCACGAGCCTATTTGCGCACTCTGAAGCAAGGGAAAAAGACCGTCAGAGAGTATGCTGCCGAGTTTAAACTCCACGCGTCTAAGCTGCAAAACTGGCCAGAGCACATCCTAGCCGAGATGTTCCGTGTGGGCTTGAACCCGGAGATTCGAGAAACGGTGTTACGGTCGGTAGACCCAGTGTCTCTGCTAGCGTGGATCCAGGAAGCAGAGAGCGCGGAAAATTGACTGCAGACCCTCCGTCTGGATTTAGCAGCAGGGGGAGGGAAAGCAACCCCTAATCCCCCTCCGAAACCCAAGCCGGCACGCCAGGTAGATGTCACCCGGGAGCAACGGATGCGACAAGGGCTGTGCCTGAAATGTGGGGAACGGGGCCACTTTGCAGCAGATTGTGGCCAGAAGACTCAGTGGGAGAAACGGGAGACCTCCAAGACCTGCGCACCGACCCCGGGGAAGA